TCAATCAATATTTATTATTTATTCAATGAAGATGTATTAAGATATGATAGCTAACTACAAAGGTTTTAAAAATAAGCACACATAGCGCGGCTGGCGTGGCTCCGTGGTTGAGCATTGACCTATGAACCAAGTCATGGTTCGATTCCTGGTCAGGGCACGTGCCAGGGTTGCGGGCTCGATCTCCAGTGGAGGGTGCAGGAGGCAGCCAATTGATGATTCTCTCTCATCATTGATGTTTCTATCTCTCTCTCCGTCTCCCTTCCTCTCTGAAATCAATAAAAATATATATATATTTTAAAAATAAGCACACATAAGACAAGAGAACAACTGAGTGCTCTGTGACATGAACTGAAACGAAACCCAGACAGCAGAGAAGAGGAGTGGGAAAGAAGGGTCCCTAGTGAAGGCAGCCTCTGGCCCGAGGCGGGGTGGGGAGAGGAGAGGGAGAGACTGACGGGTGAGTGGGAAAGGCCCAGAGAGCCTGCACTCGGGCTGGAGCTGCCAGGCTGGCAGCAGAGTGCGCACTCCGTGGAGCGCCAGGCAGCGCGGTTTCCAGGGCGCCTGGGCTCTTCCATCTGGGTTGCCTGGTGGAATGGCCTCATGTCCCCGTGCACATGCTTTCCTGGGCCTGTGTGCTGAGGATCTCTTTCGCTTCTGCTTGATGCCCTTTGGCCCAAGACTTTAGTACTCAGCTTTCATAACACTTTCTTAAAATTGCATTTCTCCTATAGAACGGCTGTGCCCCACTGAAAGGTTTTCCTGAAAGGAAATGTGGCTCTAGAGCGTGAGCCCTCATGTGTGCCCTGCTTCCTCTCTCATATTTTCTTTGGAATAGAGTGAGCTGTCATTTAACAAATAACAGTGATAATGGGCCCGATTCTGTCATTGATCTAACGTCACTAAAATACTGTCAGTACATACATTCTTCTTGAGTTGCCAGGCTTAATACAAAAGATGCCTCTCAAGTCTCTAAAGAATGTAGTTTATTTTCAGACTTTTAAACTCAGTCTAACTTTCCAAAGATTTAGTACATTATGGACTAGTTTTTAGTTTGTGATCTCAGTGTTTTTCCATTTCAGCTTTGGTTACCAGTGAGTCAAGGATTATCACTTTGGTTACCTGTAATCTTTACTTAGAGGTTTGTAAAAAGAAAAACGATAAAAGAATTGGTATATCTAAAGATATCTACATGCATGAACATAAGTGTGATAGTCACAGCGTGTATTGCATTGGCTGTTGAATTCACTGCCTCAGATAGGAAACTTACATATAAAACTTCGTAAATACTATATGCACATAAGAGATTATCTTCAGAAAATTAAGACATTACTTTCCAAAGAGCTGTAGTAGTTTTAACGAGTAAAAAAAGGGGAAGGGAGATAAAATAGACAACTTAGTATAGTTGAGCTCAATAAATCCTAATAGGAGCATATTAGAATAATATTTAGAAAATATTTTATATAAGAATTTCTAGGGAGAAACCAAGATGGCGGCATAGGTAAACACCGGAGTTTGCTGCCTCGAACAACCACTTCAAAAATACAACTAAAAGACAGAACGGACATCACCCAGAACCACAGGAAGGCTGGCTGAGGAGAGACTCTACAACTAGAAGGAAAAACAACAGCATTACGAGGAATAGAGGAGGCGCAGTGTGGAAAATTTAAAGGTACGGTGGTGCGGCGGTGCGCGCGCAAAGCAGGCTGGTGGCTGAGGGCGCGGTTGTCGTTTTCAATCCGGAGGGAGCCTCAGACTCTGGGCTACAGATTCGGGCGAGTCTCTAGGGACCCAGACTCAAACGGGAGAAGCGGGACTATCTGGCTACGGTCCCTCCGAGGTTTGCAGCGGCTGTGGGGACAGAGAGGCAGAGCCCCTGGAGACGGACTGAGAGCAGCCATAGCGGCTCCCTCCCCCCGCCCTGTTGAGCCCGCCCCGCCCAGGCCCTGCGCAGAGCCATTTGCCAATCGCCTCAGGCAAAGGCTGGACTAGCGCCTCCCCAGAGGACTGAAGTTTTCCACACAGCTGATTCCTATAGCCAGTCGGCCTTGTGGTCAAATCTCTCTAGTGTTAACTACAACAATTAAGGCTTGGCTAGAACAAGACTGCGCACAAAGACCACAAGGGGGTGCACCAAGAAAGCATAAAAGATGCGGAGACAAAAAAACATGTCAGAAATGGAGGATATGGAGCTAAGAATCGCAATTTTGAGGGTTTGCTATAAACTTGAGCAGAGCTTCACGAAAACTAATGAGACCCTCGATGCTACGATAAAGAAATTAGAAAGTAAGCATACACGGACTGAAATAAAGAATATTATACCCAATAGCAGACCAGAGGAGCACAAGAATCAAACCAAAGATTCGACAAAAAACACCCAACTGGAAAAGCAAAATGAAAAAAGAATCCGAAAGTGTGAAGATAGTGTAAGGAGCCTCTGGGACAGCTTCAAGCGCACTAATATCAGAATAATAGGGGTGCCAGAAGATGAGAGACAGCAAGATATTGAAAACCTATTTGAAGAAATAATGGCAGAAAACTTCCCCCACCTGGTGAAAGAAATGGACTTACAGGTCCAAGAAGCGAAGAGAACCCCAAACAAAAGGAATCCAAAGAGGACCACACCAAGACACATCATCATTAAAATGCCAAGAGCAAAAGACAAAGAGAGAATCTTAAAAGCAGCAAGAGAAAGAGACTCAATTACCTACAAGGGAATACCCATACGACTGTCAGCTGATTTCTCAACAGAAACTTTGCAGGCCAGAAGGGAATGGCAAGAAATATTCAAAGTGCTGAATACCAAGAACCTACAACCAAGATTACTTTATCCAGCAAAGCTATCATTCAGAATTGAAGGTCAGATAAAGAGCTTCACAGACAAGGAAAAGCTAAAGGAGTTCATCACCACTAAACCAGTATTATACGAAATACTGAAAGGTATCCTTTAAGAAGAGGAAGAAGAAAAAGGTAAAGATACAAATTGTGAACAACAAACATGCATCTATCAACAAGTGAATCTAAGAATCAAGTGAATAAATAATCTGAGGTACAGAATGAACTGGTGATTATAATGAATCAGGGACATAGAAAGGGAATGGACTGACTATTCTTGAGGGGGGGAAGGGGAATGGGAGATTCGGGAAGAGACTGGACAAAAATCGTGCACCTATGGATGAGGACAGTGGGTGGGGAGTGAGGGCGGAGGGTGGGGCGGGAACTGGAAGGAGGGGAGTTATGGGGGGGGGGAAGAGGAACAAATGTAATCTGAACAATAAAAATTTAATTAAAAAAAAAAAGAATTTCTATAAGACTCTTTACATATTTTTCTTTTGGACCTCGGAAGATCAAAGAAAGCTGGGAGGAAGTTACCTTTATTGGATTTAGAGTTGTTTGGCATTTGACAACTCATTGACTAATTTTTATATAAATGATGTCGGTCAGAGGTAGCATTTACTAAGTCATGACAGTGTGCCAGCTGAGTCATATTAATTCATTTAAACCTCACCACATGCCTGTGTTGTCAGTATTATTCCAATTTTATAAATAAGGAAATAGAGGCTCAGAGATTAAAGAGTGAGTTGCCCAAATCCTCTGACCCATGAGGGCAATGTTAGGACTCAAACCTCCCTAATACCTCATAATCTTTCTATTTGTAGCAATTGCCTTGGGACATTCTCTTGCCTTGTTCATCTTCTAGTCCCACAATGCTCTTGAGCTTTCAAAATTGCTCAACTCTAATTCTTTAACCTACATCCAAAGTATGGAAACGGAACTTAAGTCAAATTTACTTCCTTTAAAGAATCACCCAACATCTCACATTAACATTTCATGAAGAGCATTTTGTGAATGAGAAAGTTGGGGGAATACAGAACTTGAAACCATAGTTTACCTGATTTCTTTAGTACAGGACTTCTTTGGGTGCTTAACATACTGGTGTGAACACTGAATCTCTAAGGGGAAGACATTATTTATAGGTATGGTTTCACAAGCTACTTATTTATTCATCTTTTTATTTTGGTAGAATACCTCAAGGGATTAGTTTTCTATGAAACTACACGTCTTACAAATGAGGCTAAAGATATTCCAAAGCGCCCTGACCAGGTTGGCTCAGTGGATAGAGCGTTGGCCTGCAGACTAAAGGGTCCCAGGCTTGATTCCAGTCAAGGGCATGTACCTTGGTTGCGGGCACATCCCCAGTGTGTGTGTGTGTGGCATTCAGGAAGCAGCTGATTGATGTTTCTCTCTCATCGATGTTTCTAACTCTCTATCCCTCTCCCTTCCTCTGTAAAAAATCAGTAAAATATATATTTAAGAACCACTTCATATTGCCAATTCTTTGATTTAGGTTGTTATGGTATTGCAAATAAATGGCAAATTTATTTTTAATATAAATGTTATTATTAATCAGAATTATAAATAAGTTTATTTTAAATTTATTTAACCATAGAATGATGAAGCAAACAATAGATGGTGTTTATACTTACTGATTTAAGTCTAGTTGCCTTAAAATATATTTTTTGTTGAAGAAAAATGAACAAATGACCATTAGTTTAGATTTTATTTACCAGTATTATAAAGTATCATTTAAAATATTATTCTTTTTACCAAATCATTAAAATTGGTATAAGTGAGTTTAAAAGATTATAAATCCACTCTGAACTTCATCTATGCCAAGTGTTCAAGGCTCCGCTATCCCTCAAGCCAAGGAACTAATCCTCACACCACTTTCCTGCTGTCAAGGTGAACTGAAACCTTCCTGAGTGGCTCTTAGCATTTCTGTCTGATGCACTGTTTATAGCAGATGCCATCGGGTTAGCAATGGGGTCTGCATAGGACCTGGCTCACACCGTCCTCATGGAAGTTGATATAAGTATGAACCCGAGCCGTTTCTTGCAGCTCTATCAGCAGGTGGTTCTAGCTGTACTGGCTGGGGGCGGTGGCAACGTTAAGGGAAGAAGGGGACAATGGGGAAGCGTAAACACAAGGAAAGCATCTCTTACCAGGTCCTTGTTGTATTTTGTGGTTGTTTTTAAACCAGGTGATCTGAGGCTCAGGGATGCCGTTAGCATGACAGTCTAGAGTAGTGGAGCTGCTGACAGCCACTGTGTGATCACTGAGGTTTCGCAGGAGGTATGGTGCTTCCTGATCTAGTGAATAAAGAAAGAGAATTATTACTCACCAGCTTTATTTTTTATTGTATATGCACCTCAACATTTGAAATATATAAATAGCAAAACTTGACTATAAAGTTTCATTCATATTTGTTCCCTAAATTTCTCTTCTATGATTAACCTACTGCTTCCTCTTTAGTAAGTTGGTACACTACATTGGAATTCATTAGAACACAGAGTAAAATCATGAACTAAATTCTTTATTTTTAGATTTTAATATCAAGGATATTTTTCTTTCTTTACTTTTTTTTTTGTTTTGAGAGAAGCATTTCTAAAACCTAAGGAGTTTTGCATAATATTTTTGGAACTAGAAAGGAAAAACATGATCTTGGATATAGGTTTGTAATGACTTTTTACGTAGATGTATAGCATGGTGGTGATGAGTTACTATAATTTTGTATGTGCTTTCATCACTGTGTTCGTGAGGGCATGTCTGTGTTACTCAGCTGTCAGTAACCTGAGTTGCAAGGCAGCAGACCAAACAGGAGAATTTCTTGAACTTTGAAAGCTTTATTGATTTTTTCTTTACTCCGTTCCCTTCCCAAATGCAAGCCACCAAAGGATCCATTCAAGAGGCAGAGGTACAGACTTGTGGTTTTTGCACTATATAATAGTACAATAATGTATCTTATATTATTTTCTCTTAAAACATACAAATATGATACAATACAATTTATTTTAATAAAATGCCAACCAATATAGTACAACAAAATGAACTTAATACATTAGGATGCAATACATTACAACATTAAAATCCCACATAGGAACAGCAGTACCCCCAAGGCCCCAATGAGTACAGTGTCTATTTAATAAAGTAGTCAGTCCTGCTGATGTGTATACATTCTAGTTAGGTGGGTGCTCAAGCTTTTAAGGTAAAAGAATAAAGACAACTTCTGATGTCTTTCCCACCCTCCCGTCATCCATTTGCCCCCTTGTAGCAAATTCTGGAACAGAAATCAAAAGAGTTTTGGCATAACTTACACATTCTGCGTCACTGGTTTCAATTATGAGCTTTCTCTGACCATTTCTGATTTCCTCATCTTATTGTACTAACACTGTGAATGCAGCTTAGGAGTGATTATAAGCTATAAGAGATGACACATTGCCATGGCTTTGGTTCCATGTCCCTGCAGGGTTCTGCCGAGTCCCCAAACCTTTCTCTTATTCCTGCAGGGAAACTCTCAGGATTAGCATTCATTGAAGCAATTTAGAGATCTCAGGTTAAAAAGTGTATTATCATACAACTTTTAAACATGTTGATATAGAATAACATGGTAGGGTAACTATGTTAGAAGAAACAGATTTCTCATTGAATTTTGATTTCCATAGCTTATCATTAGTCTTTTCTCATTTTACACAAAATGAAATCTGAAGTCAAATAAGAATGCTGAAGGAAATGCTCTGATCTTTAAACGCTTCGAACATTGTGTGGAATGAACTAAAGCAATGACCATTTTGCCTGTTTCTGTGTGTCTTTCCTCATCTATCTTGCCCCCAAGCAGAGCCATTTGAATATTTCTGGGTCTGAATTCTGTGCAATCTGTCAAATTGCTTTTACTGGTGGAAAATGCAGCCATCTATCAAAATCTTTAATTTTGGTAACATGCCTGATCATTACAATGTTTACAGTTTTACATGGGAAAGACCCTAGACATGCCAGTGAAACTCGGAAGAGAATAAAGAATAGTATCATTTACTATTTAGTGTCTTTTACAGTGGCAAGCCAACTTTGACATATCTCAGTGAAACTCAGACCCAGTTCACTGAGCTATTCTTTTAATAGGCTCTCTGAGCACATTTGCTATTTCCCATGTGCTGAAAATGCTAAAATAACCTATCATTGCCCACGGGCCTTATTATAAGAAGAAAGCCTGAATATAGGGCCTCCAGCACCCAGATAATTTTCATAGCTAAAAACGGTAACATCATCAGCACAGGCAGAATTGTGCTTTCCTGGCAGGTGTATTGGAAAGCAGTGCTTATGTAGATGAGAACATTTGCTTTTAACAAAAAAAGTCGTGAAGACCTCCCAAGGGCTCTATCTGTCCTACACAAACTTCAGACAAGAGAAACAGCAGAAAGGCTGCAGAATAAACATAGGACTTTCAATTAAGTACAAACTTTACATAAACATGCCTGAAACATACAGCATTATGATTTTTTTCTTTGTACCCATTTCTGAAAAAACATTCTCTTATAAGAAAATTATCTTTTTTTGCTAGTTTCTAAATAATCAATCAATCAAGGAATCATTTTTATCTATTCCCACTTTATGCTTTATAGTAATCTCTTTTGACATTTTAAGTTAAAAAAGTACATCAAACCCATATTTTTAAACCTAAGTTATTTGATGGCTATAGGTAGCTGCTTTCCAAAAGTTAACTGGAGCTGATCCCTTCAAACTGAGAAAATCAGAAAGAACACAATATTTCTGCTGGTTATCAATAGCCAAAGAGAGCTCCCATCAGGCTCTTCTCTTACTTTTCGGTGTTACTGACACTTTTCGGTGTCACCAGGCCCGATGAATAGTGTCTGTTCTCCATTGGAATGGGGACCGAGGAACCAGCCTCACGCCCTCCACTCCATCGCACTCATTCTCCACACTGGCTCTTTTCTTTTCCTTTTTCCTGTTATCCTCCCCTTACTCCGCACTCAAAAGAGTAACTAATTTTTTTAATGTTTTTTTTCTTTTGAAACTCTCTGTAAGGATTAATTACACAGTGAACAATTACAGCATCCTTAAAATCATCTCGTGGAAGTGCTTAAAATCATCTCCTGTGAATATAAAGACCCTTCCCCTCTCCATGAAAATTGTAATTTTAAGGGAAAGGAAATGATACATTCTGCATGTCCAATTCATCATGCTTTCAGAAGCACTCCCCCAACCATTCCAGTTACTTTTTGAGCTTTCCTAGAAATGGAGGCTCCCAAGCTCTGGGGTCCTAACGCATTGTTTCCTGAAGGAACACACTGACTTATAATGAACAAAGACGCCAGGCACAAGAGCCATAGGTAAAAGATACAATTGATTATTCTTTCCTTTGGGCTGACAACTTCCAGGTTACTAATTGTTTTCAGAGCATTCGGGGCTCCATAAAACTGGCATTCTGGGGAAATGGTATTGTTTACTCTTTCACACTTTGACAAAAGCAATTCCCACGTGAAAGACAAGTTTAGCCGTGGGACAGAGCCTGTTACCTAAAGTAGGAAACAGCCAAGAGAGTTCCCAAGCCTGAAACATTGTCATATTGTCAGCTCTTGTCGACTGCCCAGCCACTGTGTTCTCAGCCATGGCTATTTCGGTCAGTATGATTTATTTTCCAATAGTTCATGCAAGTCACATATAATGATCAATCATAAATGAAAACAACAGAACAGTACACATTAAACTGGAGGGGGAAAAAGTCACTTTCCCCTCAAATGCAAGCTTGAAACAAGAGATACAATTTGTCTTGATTTAAAAATGTTTATTTTTCAATGATTCTGAATTCTGCTTCTGTAGTTGTGCTATTTCTTAATCCCCATAAAAATCCTATTAACATAGGAATATGGGGAAGTAGACTTTTTTTAGTGGGCACATTTTTAGATTTACATTTAGAAGAATGCCTTAATCTTAAACTTCTGGTCACAATGGCCTTTATTTGTTTAATAATTGGTTGTGGTACACCCTTGAATGCCATTAATTAAACAGGACAAAGTTCTTTAAAAGACTAACCAGGGGACAAAAATATTTAAACCAAAGGCATGATCCTCTTTCTTTCAGGATAGCTGTTTAGTCCACTCAGGAGCAGTGAGGAGGAAACTGGCCACTGGTCTGGAAAGCTACCCAGAATTGCCTAAGACCAGAGTGGGCTTGATTTGGGTGGATTTTCCTGATTCATCCTGTGATAAACCTTTAACACCTCTGAATTATACCAACACTTGCACCCATGGGACCCATCTTAGAGCTCCAGTTTAAGATGAATGTGCTCAATGTAAAAAAAAAAGCATTTTCAAATAAATAAGCATTATAATGTGCTATCCAGGTGCTATTTACAAATGAAAAACAGACGAATTAATACAAAATAGAACCAGGCAGAGGTCCGACAGAGTCTCAAATTCAACTGTACTCATTCTGAGCTGGAAAATTAACTTATACATGTCCATCTTTGGCAGAAACCAGCATCTGTTTAAATTATTCAGTTTGTGCAGCTTTGAAACTTAAAAATAAAAAGAGGTTGGCATCAAAGTGGAAGGAAAGGATCAGCTTCCAGTTGAGTGTTTATCAGGCAGGAGACAGCAAAGAGCAAAGCACAGAGTGTGCCTGCCGGGATCCTCCAAATCCAAAGGCGCACCAGGTCACCAGGTGGGTCCCAGAGAGACCCTCAGCCTGATGGGGAGCCCCGCGTGGGCCTGGGGTTCATTATTACTCCCATCATCTCCAAACTCATTTTGGGAGGAGCATCTCCTCTGAGCCAGAAAGTTAGCAACAGTGACAATAAATCAAGATGATATGAGACAACTGTTACTTTTGAATGAGTCCTTTAATGTTTTACATTACTTTGTGTGGTACAATCATTCCTTGTGCTTTTAAATTTGGAGATCCGAGAGAAAACAGCCTTTTTGTTGCAGTGCTCACCTCTAATTGTAACTTCTTTCTTCTGAAGGACGTCTTCCCCTGTGTATATGTTCCTGGCTCTGCAGGCATAGGTGCCTGAGTCTTCCAGGGAAGCATTCTTGATGAGAAGGTGAAGCGTGATGGAGTGCTCCTTCGTGACGGTCATTTTTTGCCTCCTAATCCTGTGGTGCATGCTTCGGTTATTAGCTGTCCGCAGCTTAATCCAAGTGATGTCTCTGTATAAGAACTTGCTAACTGTGCAAGACAGTTTCAGGTCCTCTCCTTCCGTAGGCATTTTTTCCAAGTTAACGTGGAACCCATTTGGTACATCTATAAAATAAGAATAAAGAACTTTGGTTCATAGAAAAACAAGTGTCATACGGAGGCAATATCTTGTCATGAGATACTCAAAGATCTGCTGAATTATTCCTGCAGAGATTCTCTCAGCATCGGCATTAAAAAAATGACTATTTATCTGTTTATTTTAGGGGACTTGCTCAAACATAGCAGGTGGAAACCAACTAAGTTCATACCATCAGAAGCAGGAAATGCCAAACAGGACAGTTAGTATGATAGGACATTTTTCTTATTTGCCTCAAGCTGCTCTTCAAAATTGAATTTTTTTTGTACAACTTGGGATGATAACTACATTTCCCATTTCTTTACCATGGACAGAACTACTGGTAAATGGACAAAATAGTAAAGTGATAATAGCAATTTGTACTAAAATTCAAAGAAGCTTTTATCATCAAACTTATCCAAAATAAGTGGTGAGACTAGGAAGTCCCAGGTACATGTTAAGAGATCCAGTCCTGCCAGTCAACACCACTGCAGTCCTCACGCATCCAGTAAAAGAGCAACTGACTTCCCAAGCTTCCTGCACTGGGTCCCCAGCTGCTGTCCCACTGTGTTGCCTGCTCTTTGCTGGCACAGTGGGCAGAGTGTGCAGAGAAGAGCCAACTTTCTTGCTCAGGTTCCCTACTGGTGGTTGTTCCACCCAGCCACAAAAGAGAAAAGATGTCTTCTGAAAATGTGGACAACTAATCTGAAAGAGTTGCTGGATTCCAATATGGGGGCAGTCGTGGGAGGGAAAATCATTTTTAAAAAAATCAAAAGCTTATTAAACATTTTCTGAAAGTGACTGTCATTAAAAGCCATTTTCTCCAATGTCCACTCCCAGCGAACCTTCATCTCCATCTCTACGTGCCCCTGGCAACACCTCCTGAGCTTCCCCCTGAGCTTTCCTTCCCTGGACCATCGTTTAGCTTCTGCCCTGAGAGTTCCTCGTCTCATCCTGGACCGTTTCACCAGAGGATTCCAAAAAGTCATTGGTTACTGGCCCTGAACGGATCTGCTCTCAAAACCCTTGCGTTGCCTGTTACTAGTGGCGTATCTGTATTTGAGCAAAGAATTTGGGCCAACATTTTACAAAGTACTTTGAAGATGAAAAGCACTATGTTATGCTATTATTATTATTATCCTTTGGACACAAAGCTATAAAGAAACCTTTAAACCTTAAAGGGACAATAGTCCAAAATTAGATATCATATCAACTCTTTCCTAAATCTCACTTTGCTTGTTTTTCTGATTTTTCTGGGCTTTGGCTTTATTATAAAGTGTCACGTCTGAAGAAATGCCAAAGTATTCATTTGAAACCTGGGAGCGGGGATAACAGTGGCTTATGAAGCTGTCAGTAGTTGGAAAGAGAGGAGACCAGTGGAGGTTTTCCTGCTTTAAAAATGAAAACCTAAGGATGTGCCAGAAGATGCAGAAGCAGCTGACAATCATTTTTAAGATAACAATAAGATGTCAGAAATAGCCCCTGTAACTTAGCGTCATTTTATATTTGGGACATTTTCCAAGCATAAGGATTAAAACAGCAGCCATCAACTCTTACACACACACTAGAGCAGAAGTGTTGTGTACTGGTTGCAATCAAAGCATTTATTTAAAGACCACAGACTCCATTTATGAGGTCTCATCTGGTATTAGAACCTAAGTGAGCCCAAGTCACACCATTGAGAGCAAGTAGAGTTTCTATTTACTTCAGTGATTTGAAACTTCCTGTGGAAATTAGCTCACAGGTTTCCTGATGGAAGATTTTGTTTATCTTTGCCAAGCACCACCAGGAATCTCAAAATAAAATGCATTTAGTGACATTGGGAAGCCAGGGAGATAAGGCAGTGCTGTTCCTGTTTCACACTCAGTAATTGCTAACACACCCATAGTCATGCTGAGTGCCAGCAAACAGCAAAAACACACACAGAGGAAAAGAAAAGAACCAAATGGGTTTTGTGGTCCATTTCCCACATGGGGGGCACTGTCACTGAAGCTAATTTGGTGTACGTTATCAGACAGCCTCTTAGAAATGATGACCTATTTCTCAGCATCACCCATTTGGTATTCTCTTTTAAATCCATAGAAAATAATAAATAAAATGTCCTAAAACGAGTTCATGAATCCAGAGGGATTTTTCTCCTTAATTCATGTTGATTTTCTTTTTTTTTGCCTGAGTACAAAAACAACCCCAAGAAAGAACTGCCTTCTAACTCTCAGAGTGAAAACAAATCTTCCCACACTTAAGTGTCCGTTGAATATTCAGTACAAGCATCATCAGCACCAACTAATAACATGTTTCACACCCATGTCAGCTTATGAGGTGTCAAGGAGAAGAATCAATGCTTACTCAGGAGAGAGGAGAGACATTCAACCTAGGGTTAAGTGAGTCATCTATTCTCAAAGGGGGTAGACATTCAGACTTGGTTGGTCAAGCACGTGAATTGAGTTCATGAGACAGGCACAGAAACGGAAAGGATGGAAGGTGCCTCATTTGTCAGGGCGGGGTAAAGAAGGCTTCTCTTCTAGTGGAGAATAGCAATAACATTCTCTAAAAAGACAGTGAGTGGTTACTAGAAAGTTTTGCTTTTTCAAGTAGCTACCGTGTACACATAATGGCACAGCACAGAGCTGAAGCAGTGGAGGGTTCTAGTGGCCACAGGTAACTACTTTTCATCAGTTTGGAAGGCAACTGTAAGTTATTATTGTACTTTAAGGGGCAACATGATGGAAATGAGGCTCAATAAAGATCCAAATCCAGATCTAGATTTAAAGCAGTTAAATTTCAGACAGGTCTCTTAAAGCATCATCTGCACCAGGACCAAGAAGAAACACAGATAACAGACATGTGAGGTGCAACGTACCGAACAGTGTTCAGTCTCATCTCTTGTGAGAATAAGTCTCGTGACAAAAATTTGAGTAAGAAAAAGATAATAATTAGTTTTAAAATAATGCGTGTAAGCAAATGAATCTGTTATCACCAATCTTATCACCAACTAGAACTTTTCAGGACTGGTAGACAAGAATTCAGAGAAATTATATTCCAGGAAATGGAGGCTTGATTGGCTGGCTTTGTGCTCAGTTTTAAGATTAAGGCTCCTGAATTCCTAGAGGAAACATGGCGAGAGCTTCTAGTAGGTATATTTGAATTGAATTCTCATTGCTCTTTCTGTGGACAAGCCTTGAGATCTAGGAAAGATCTCAACTACTCCATGGTTATTAAGTGTATAAAGTGGGAGGTGAGAGGGAATTTCTGAATTCAGCTGATTAGCTTGATGGGCACCTCTCAGCGTGGATATAGGCTGCGGCAAGGAAGAACTCAGAGGGACGGACAGGCGAGATGTTGGTGCTGCAGTTCATGCTGGGCCCAGTGAACCTTTCCGGGGGGGGGATGTGCTGAACTATATGGAAATGAGCATGCCCTTCCCCTCCACTCTGCGCTTCCAGTACTGCCTTCAGACTCAGCAAGAGGGCTCCCTGTCCTAGGCCTTTGGACGGCTCTGTCTGGCTGTCCCTCTTCACAGAGTCTGTGGGCCAAGTGGACATGTCCACCCAGAGTCTATGTAACCCCACTTCTAGATCTTTCTTGGGGTCTCTGGGATCCCAGAATTCCCTGTAAAGGTGATCCCAAGTCTGTTCCCAGGTCTCAGTCTCTTTCCTCTTCGCTAGGTCTGTCCTCCTGATGTCAGACCACTTGTCACTGGGCACACTGCTAGGTCCCAGGAAGACTGTTCATGAGGGGTGTGGGCAGAATGTGGACGCCAGGGCGAGATTATCTTCTCTCTACCTGTTCAGATGCGAATCCCCCTCAGTGCCCCCTCAAATCCAGGGGCATTTCACATCCTGCTTTCGTCTCAGAGGCTTCCAGCTACACTGTGCAGTACAGAACCCATAGACACATGTGGCTATTGAGCGTTTACAACATGGCTAGTGTGACTGAAGGATTTCATTCAAGTCTTTATTTCAATTAATTTAAAAACGGGAGCAGTATAGTATTTAAAATGTCAATGACATCTTGAAATGATACTATTTTGGGTATATTGGGTTAAGTAAAATTAATTTCACTTTTTTCTTTTTGCTTTTAAAAATCTGGATACTAGAAAATTTTAAATTACATATGTGGCTTACATTATATTTCAATTGGACAGCACTGGCTTCCCATTGGTAAATTTGTCCATCACGTTACTTCTGCACAAACCTTAGGATACTAGGATATATATACTTTAACATTTCTTCTTTGTTTCCTGGGTGTTAAAATGTCTTTCTAGAAAGACAGGGCTTCACTGATATCTCTGCAAGTGCCCGCTGCAGAGTCGAGCGGGACTATCTACCAGCAGGTGCTGTTAAACTTGTACAAACGTGTTGACTGCTCAGAACAGAACAGGAGCTGCTCAGTCTTTCGTCCTCTAAATCACACATACAGTGGCTATGGATTTGGGTAACTTGTTTCCAACCAAATATATAGGACAATACAAACCTTGGTATTTAATTAGTCCAAATCATCTGAGATTGCATCTGTGTGAAATTACTATTTGAATCCTTGAAAGAAAGGGTTTTCCTACTTGGAATGGATGCAAAGATGATTTCCCTTCCACTTCTCGAATCTGAGAGGACTGAGCCAGTCTAGAGCGGCTCTGCTGTGTGCCTCCCCACATCTCCAAAGCCATCTCCTCATCTGGGGAATGCAGGGCTAGGATGCCTCTGAATCTCGCCCAGCTCCGCTGCTCTGTGACAGCCTCTCAGGGTGTCTCCACGGAGCTTCTCAGAGGGTTGGCTGACTCGCCAGAGGCTCCCTGTGAGCTGACAGCCCACGCGGTCTCGTGAAACCAGACCTATTCTTTCTTTCTGGAGAACTCTAGGCAACTCCTGCAGCCTTCCTCATGCAGTGCGAAGTTTCCAGAGTTGGCAAACTGCCCAGGCTTCCTCAGAAATTGGGGAGTGTGGAGCCAGGCAATTGTTTTTATACTTTGAGCTACTTACTTCCTTCCTGTACCCATGGAGGGACATAGGGAGTGCCCTTTGCGTACCTTGGAAGTTTTAAGATTTGCAGGACGGTCCTATTTAAGGCTAAAAATTCTTATATGAGACCAAGAAAGAGTACATTACTTATTGTCAACAAAGCCCAGCTTCAGATTTCTATAGGAGAGTCTCATTTTCCAAAAAGTTAAAATTAACTTGTGAAACAATTAGCTTTCTGGTTTTAAAAAATGTTATCATATGTATTATAATTTGTTTCCTTGATTATTCTTTTTTAAAATCCTCACCCAGGGATATATGTTTATTGATTTGAGAGAGAGAGAGAGAGAGAGAGAGAGAGAGATTGGTTGTTTCCCATATGCCCCCAACTGGGAATCAAATCTGCAACCTTTTGGAGCACAGGACGATGCTCTAGTCTAACCAGTGGAGCCACCCTGCCAGGGCTCCTTGATTATTCTTGAACAACCACTGTGTGCCAGGTACTGAAGGAATTAAAAAATGAACATGACAAGATCCCAAATTCACAATCCAGCCTGGGAGCCGGACATCCACAAATGGCTCTAAAAGAGAATGCAGGGAAACTATTCTTTAGAAGATTCAATGATGGTACTGTTCCTAAGAGCAAGGATGAAATTGTTCAAAGTTTAACAATTCTATGGAGTGTTTTCTTTAAACAAAAATCACTCTATCTCTGAGTGCACTAAAAGCAAACAAGACTTGAAGAGAGACAGGTCACCAGGCTGTTTTTGTGAGTATAAGGTGTGTGGCTTACCTGTGATATAAAAGTTTATGTTTCTTTCCACAGTCCCTACTTTATTGGAAGCCATGCAGCTGTAGATTCCAGAAATTCTAGAGTCAGCCACAACCAAGGAGCTAGCGGTCTACAAAAGAAAAAGAAATTTCAGCTAGTGATAGGACAAAGAACCGTTTGAACATCCATCAGCTACTTCTGAGGGTTGAAATGATTCAGCTATTTCATTCATTCAACGAAGGTAGTCATTGCACAAGTAGTGGTTACCAGAAGGCTCTCCCCTTTCCGAGCCCCAGCAAGAATGGAAAAAATAACAGGAAAGCAGGTCCTCAGGAGACCGGGGGCTATGACATCCGACTCGGACGAGGGTTTCAGGCTTATTTATCTCATGCTGCTGGCGCAACAATTACAGACCTGAGGCTGAGATGCGGGACTGCACGTCCTACTCTCTGAGGTGGTCAGCCCACGTGAATGAGAGCACCAGGTGAGGCGGAGGCCTTCCTTTGTTGGGCTGACCTGAGCCAGTGGCTGCTGTTTGGGAACAGGAGCCTTAGCAAGGACAGAAGAGAACGGCTGGCTGAACCATTGCTTTCATGTGCTCACAGAATGTGGCCCTGCGGTCCCGATGGTGCCGAGGGGAGGCAGGAAAGCCCGCTAAGATGATTGTGTGTGTTTGTAAATTACTTAACTTCTCAGTCTGTCAGTTCCTTATCTAGGAAATGAAGATATAGGTTACAAATTAACTCACTATAGTTTCACTAGACTTTAGTGCTGCTGTTTGACAAATTAGTCCCTAAAAAGGCAATAGGAGTCAAATGTGTATGAATTTGAAAGCACGTTACAAACTGTGATATTTCAAAAGTACTGAAACACACATTTGTACAGCTTAAAGGCTTGCATTGCTATCTTCTTTTAAAGATAAAAATTAGTCACATGAAAAAAAATTATTTATTTTTAAAATCCAACCCAACGTTGCAGAAAAGTGATACATACCATATAGGAAAAACAAAAGAGCAAGTTTTTCATATTTAAAATTATTTTGAAAATGTTGATCTAATTACTTATAAATTATTGCAGCCTATCTCCTAAGACACAGATGGCTGGGTTTCAAATGATAGAGGCTGTGCTGAAGCTTCCAGACTAATGGAGTGTCCTAGCTGAAGGATAGTGGTTGAGTGACCTACAGGCTAAAGTAATATGTAGGCTGAAATGTGACCGTGGGCTTCCTATAGTGGTGAATACAAAACATCTTAACATTTTTCTGAGTTTCTAAGTAATGTGCTAGGCACTTTACAGGTTCTCATATCCTATTCAGTAAGGTATTTCTGTCTTTATTCTACAAATCAGGAAGACTAAGAATATACTCCTCATGTTTTAGCCAAGTTCATTGCTCCAAATTCTCTGTAATTCCACTATGGCATAGTGAGGATTGCATAAATGATTCATCTTCTGTTTGTTGCATCTGTTTAATTGCACACACCATATATCCTCTGTGCATTGAAATGATTGGAAATGAAAGTATCTACAATATGTGGCATTTTGCATTCAATTAAGCAGACATTTACTGGGTATTGCCCAGATGTTTTAAGGGAGACAGAGGTGAATATGACACAATCCGCATTCTTAACCTTGAAGGATATTCTTAACCTGAAGTTGATAGAGAAGAATGTCCCTACTTGGAGATCAAATACATATTACTCTCTCCTGCAGGGGAGCACTCTCACGAAGACAGATAAACAGTGAAGAATATGAAAGGGAGCTCAGGTGTCTCCCTATTTTGATTATTAATCTTTAAGATTAATAAGAGGTGGGAAATAAAAAGATTCTGGGTAGACATTTCCTTTGAATTCTGGCGCCCGCCATTTAAAAGTCATGGGAGGAAAGGAGAGGAGCTGGTGAGGTGCCCTCTTCTGCAGAAGCGGCAGCTGAGGTTACAGAGGCTCCATGACTCACTCAAACATACGCAGCAGCACAGACAGACCTGGGCAGAACTATGTCCAGGTTTGTTTGACGCCAGTGCCTATGCTCAACCTTTATATCAAACTGCTTCTCGCCTAAAAGTCTTTAAATGTAATAGCACAGATTTATTGCTAGAGTTCTATTTTTTGAATTGGGTTTTCCCTCAAGAATACATCCTTTGGTCAGCAGAGATAAACTATATAAGCTAAATGCTACTATGTACAAGAAAGACCAGTTTCTTTCTTAGTGTTTTACATAAGCTGCAAGCTATTTTTCAATGGATACAGTGTTAGAGAGTTTGAAAATATGATTGAGGAGTGAAAAAAATTAAAAATAAGATGAAACTTGTATCCTATGATCAACTTTATTAAAAACTATCTGATTTCTAGATAGTTTTCTTTTTTCCCAGAGAATATAAATTAAAACATATTTTGCATAAAAAACAAAATCTATCTTTAGCTAAAGTATAAACTTTATAGGGTCAGGAAAAAGAGCTCGAGTGTGAGCTGTAGGTGAGTATACACTGTCTGGACAGAGGAAGGTACATCTCAATGCAGGACTCTTCGGAGTTAAAGGGACAGATATATCCCCTGGTGCTCATATGACTGTTCCAAGGGGAAAAGATAAAAGTAGCATAACAGTTGGAACACCAAATACCAACTTAATACTTTAAAAGACAAAGTGCCAAGAATTTGAGTTGTGAAATGTGTTTGAAATTATAATCATTTATTTTATAAGGTACACCAAAAGAAATTCTCCAAGATGTATGCTTGTATTATTTCTGTAATTAGTTTTCATTTGCCACAATATTGGGGTTTTTTTTTTAGTTCTGAACCCAGACTTTGGGGGTGCCTCTACTTGCCCTGCCACGACCTCGAGAATTTAGACACTAGAAACAGACTCTTAAAGGCCATTCTCTGGTTCCTTTGTATGACTCAGGAATGCTGATGAAAACTGTCGTCAGGTACTGTAAGTTTGGAAGTTATTCATATTCCTTCCTTCCCTTTCGCTAAGTATTAGTCACCACTACAATGCGGTTGAGCCTCACGGAATGGGATGGGGGATGATGTGTAATTCAGCCTAATCTCCAGCATTCATTTACAAAAAATCTATATATGGAACAGTGATTTTAATCTCGGAATGTTTCTAATATAGTTTCCTTTTAAGTGTTTCAGAGAGAAATAAAAGTAGACATGGAGAGAGGTCATGGAAGAATCTAAATTTAACCTAGGGCGGCACATCTGAGCCAAGTGATGGGAGAACGGAACGTGAGAATTAGGAAAAACGGGGGAGTGTGTGGGAAATGCAACCCAAGCTGTCATCCTGCTTTAGGCTCTCGGGCTCCGTCATGGGTTTGTCTCATACCGTGGACGCATTTCTCATTCTCAACTCAAAACAATTTCAGTGGAAATGTTGCTAAAATGTTGTAAGGTTGTCACAGTTCTCCAGCCTCCCAGAACTAATGCTGTGATAAGCATTTCCTGAGTGTGTGTTTTTTCTAACACAGGGTTCCTTCTACTTCCTACTCCATATCTACAGACCCAATCAATAGCCTGGCTGCCCCATTTAAACAATATGAAATGCCACGTTTGCTATTAGTAACTCCATTGATGACTCACTTCTCACAAATCTAGGCCATAACTTGCCAGTAAGGAACTGAATTTTATTGTCCCCTGCACCCTGACTTGAATTACATGGAAAAAGCAAAACAAAACAAAGAAAAAAAATTCAAGTCCCTGAAATCGAACAGGTGCTCCAGCGGGCCCTCCATCCGCTGACCTGTGGGTGTGCTGCTGGGCATGCCCGCACTGTGACCACAGGGAAGAGTTCACACAGTCTAGGGTGGGACTTTACTTTTGTAAAATATACAGAAAATAAAGGTTTTAGTTGTAAAGAGAAGACCAGTGCAAATCATTCTGAAATAGCAAAACTTCCCTTTGTCATCATTATATGAAAGATAATTTTTCATACACAAAAGATATATTAATACATGCTAAAAGTGAAAGTAGTAAATTCTTTTAAATTTAAAACATTCAATTAATAATTTACTTAAAGACTGTGTTGCAGTTGCAGCTACTAATAGGGTATCATGTATATAAATATACCTATATATCTCAAACTTTGTTTAGAAAGTATTGTTTTTTTCATTGCAAATAATTGTTGAACAAATAGTCTTTATTATGTATGATCACAGTCAATTTTGGAATTGCATTGGGGTCTATATAATAATCACCTTCACAGCAACAGGCAAATTAGGTAGGGCAAATATTTCTAGCTCCATTTTTTGGAGGAGAGAACACAGGTTCAGAGAGGTGAACTGGCATGCATATACAGGATAGGAAGTGGCCGGAGCTGGGTCTCAGGGCTCCTGACTGCATGTGGGATGGCACAAGTGCCAACTGGGTCTGGAAATCTATATTTAAAACCTTTGCATCACTACAAAATTACATGTAAATCAGGGAAGTTCCTTTTTCTAACCCTGGTTTTGTTACTCGACTCCCACCGTTTCTCACAGGTATTCTCTATGGAGTCAGGTCGCTACTTCATGGTTCAGGCTACTTAGAGACCTCACCTAGCTTTCTCATTTTCCATTTTCTTTCCTATTGAGAATTTTTGAGGATAGGATACCAAAATAGGACTAGAATTTACCACATAAATTAAGTTTCTAAGATCTGTTTTAATATCCAGCAGTTATGGTCAGGAAAAGGCAAATTGAATTGACACAATCAACGGCATCTGGAAAACATCTAGTACTTTGCGACAACTAACTTGATTTCTATCCTGAGGCAATTTCTTTCTTTTTTTTTTTATGTAGTCACAAATTTAACTTTCAAGTTTATAGAATTTCCCCTTTCCTAAGTATTTCAGTAAATAGTTACACATCATGGAATATTTTAAACTACTGTTCATTTGTATTAGAGAAAAAAATTTTAAACCACCTACAACTGCTGCTAGTTATAAAAACGTTTCCTAAAGCCTTGACAAATGATTGCTGATAGTATCATGCCAGCCGTCACCATTTGAACTGATTTCTGTATGGGCTTAAATTGGCAGAGGCCTGGGTTTGGGAACAGGAAGACTTCGGTTTGAGCTTTGCATTTGCCACTTTAAGCGGTGTGGCTTTGAATTAATCATCTTATCACGCCAGTTTTTCTTATCTTTAAAATGGAGATAACCACTTTGGTCAGCCTAAGAATGACATTGACATTAGCATATGTCAAAAAGTTTCACACAATGAGTTCAGATGTTACTTGTTGTTATTTCTATCCTAGATAGAAAATGATGCCATTTACTTTGTCACCTCCAAGTGCAAAGAATACAGCCAAATAAATAGATAAATAGGCATAATCACACCCCAGCAGATGGCATTCATAGTAACAGACTACTCCAAATCAAGACATGCAAGTAGAAATAGACATTTCAGCAAGGGGTTATTTGATAATTTTATTTTTTACTTTTAAAATTATCACTACCCCATGCCTGTAATCACAGTTTCTTTATGTGTATTTTTCACTAATTCAATAAAAAAAAAAGCCACCAGATCTGAGATCCACTGATATTTGCATGGTTTACAAGGTGTCGGCTCTGCTAAGGCTCAGTGGAGGTTAGGGGAGTAGAGAACGAACAGTACAGGAGTGGCAGAAAAGACTCCTGCTAGACCCTGATGAGATCAGAAGATTTTTTTTTGTGGGAGGAAAGGTTGAAGTCTCTTTTTTTCTTAATAAGATATAATTGACATCCAACATTATATAACTTTCTATTTACAACATAATGATTCAATATTTGTATATATTACAAATGGTCACCATAAAAACTCTAGTTAACACCTGTCACCATATATAGTTACGATTTTTTCTTGTGATGAGACTTTTAAAATCTACTCTCTTAGCAACGTTCACACGTGCAATACAGTATTACTACTATAGTCACCATGCTGCACATCACGTCCCCAGGACTTATTTATTTTTAACTGGAAGTTTGTACCTTTTGACCTTCTTACCCATCCCCATCCTCTGCCTCTGGCAATGACCAATCTGTTCTCTGTATCTATGAGTTTGTTTGTTTGCTTTAGATTCCACATAAAGTGAGATATTTGACTTTCTCTGATTTATTTCAGCATAATGTCCTCAACATCCGTCCATGTTGTCACAAATGGCAAGATTTCATTTGTTATTATGGCTAAATAATATTCTGTTGTGTATACACACCGTATTTTCTTTATTCACTTATCCATTAACGAACACTTAGGTTGAACACAATCTTGGCGATTGTGTGTAATGCTGTAATGAACATAGAGGTGTGTATATCTTATTGAGTTAGTATTTTCATTTTCTTCAGATATACACCCAAAAGTGGGATTGCTGGATCACATGGTAGTTCTATTTTTAATTGTTTGAGGACCCTCCATGCTCGTTTCCATAGCCGCTACACCAACTTACATTCCCACCAACAGTGCATGAGGGTTCCCTTTCCTCCACCTCCTCACAACATTGCTATCTCTTGTCTTTTTGATGATGGCCTTTCTAACAGGTGTGAGTAGTATCTCATTCTGGTTTTGATTTGCATCTCTTAAGTCAGAGAATCTTGAGATTCTGTGTGTTTGTATACCCCAGTGTTAGTCAGGCTTTGCCTTTGCAAAGACAGAGGGGGAAAACAAGATATTTTGTGAAATGGGAACATTCCATATCAGCTTTTGCTTACTGCTACCCTACTTTATTTGTGGAAGTGCTTCTCAGTCCTGGTTACATGCCAGAATCTGCTGTGAGCTTTCATGAACCTGGGCTCCACCCCAGGGATCCAAAAGTAAAGATAATTGGGAGAGTATTCGAATACGCAGCCAGGGTTGAGAACCACTGATGTGGACAAGTCTGATGTTCAAGAGGCAGTTCCCCCTCTTCTGTTGGGACAGCGTACTCATTCCTTGGGCCTGGTGGTTGGCTGGAGAACACCACCATTTGAGTGATCTCAGTGCATCTCTCCATGAAGAGGTATCTCCATACCTTCTTCTCTCTGGACTTTTGTTTGCGCATTTGAGTGATTTCTGGTTCTAATAAACCCAGAGCTGGGAGCTGAGTGTGTGTGTTTAGAATAAGTATCCCAATGTTTATTGTTACAAAGAATACCTTATTTTTTCCTTCTATGATTGCCGTGCGCTGAGTGATGCTCTCAATTCTGTTTCCTATGTTGCTGTCAGGATCCAGGATAAAGGACTCTTCATTATTGGAGCAAAAGTCATACCTATTTTTTAAAAAAGTAAGTCATTAGTATGTTGCTTTGCAGCATGGTCCAGACCAAGGTGAAATGAAAATCACTGGACAAGTGCTCGGGCAACAAAAGCACACGTTCTTTCTCTTTTCTTTAGATTTTCCCCAATATCCATTCTCACAACTTAAAAATAGCAAATATATTTTGCCTGATCTGAAAAACCCACATCAATGTATTTCCAAACGTCCTTCCTATTCTAAATGTTAAATATGAAATAAAATGCATAAATTAGGAAATTTAATATCTAGATTTTAATTAGCTCCTAGTGGAGGAAATATGCAAACACGGAAAAAAATGTAGTTACATTAGTGAATGGAAACCTCAAAGAAATCACATCTATAAAAGGCTGGCTGCTAATCAGAACATTCCATTATGCAGGTAACTTTTTCCAGGCTAATTAAGTGCATATGCAAACACACATGATGGAGCAGTTATTAATTTCAGTCTATTTCTTTTCAAGTTTGGCGGTGTCATGGTAAGCTCTTCAACTTCTCAGGCCTCAAGTGTTTAATGATATAATAAGGGTCTGAAGTGGTTTACCTTTAAGATCTTTTTTAATTCTAAAAGTCCATGAAATCTCTTTTATTATTTTGAACTAGCTACTCGAGTACCATTTTTTTCTTTTTTGATTAAAGTATTACACAGGTGTCCTTATCCCCCCATTAAAGAGAGATTTTGACCTATATCTGGAAGTTGGCATGTTTTCTCAGACAGGTTATTATCAGTAAGCTTCTGTTTTCATATGGTTTGCTATGCAAATCATTTGGTAAATAGTTACTGCTCATTTATTATGTTTTATGTGTCCTACATCCTACATGAATAAAAACCCCAAACAACAAAAAAGACATTTAAGTCCATGCTGACTGGCAGTAAAGTAGTATCTTAACTGGCCTTGCTGCCGGCTGGCTTTTTCCACTCTTCCAACACCCACCAAACTGCGTCAGACCAACCCCTGCTGCTCTGGTTTTCAGTGAAATCCTTTTTGTTCCAAAAGCTTTAACAACTGGACTGTAGAAATTTCAGCCTTTTTTGTTTGATGGTCAAGGCCATCCACAGTCCATCCCTCACCTGCTTTTCCAAACGTAACCCTATGTGAAGCCCTTTGTTCTAGTCAAATTGGGTTTTGGTTTGGTTAGTTCAGAGTACTGGGTCAGGAGTCAGAGGGGACTTAGGTTCTAGTCCTGCCACGACTTTTCCTAAGTGTATGACAAGTTTTCTATTCTGCAAACTAAAAATTAAATATACCTGCCTTGTTAATCTCACAGGATTATATAAGCATCAAATGGCTTAATTTACTTGCCAAGGTTTTGTAAATTAAAGACACAGAGGAAAGTACGGAGCTATCTTCCCTGTATCACAGGGGCATGCCATGTGCACTCAGATCCCTTCCTCTTCACTCACGCAGCTACCACTGACTAGACACCCCCACCACCCATAACGTGGTCTTGTCTAACAGCTTATTCTGACCATTGTGACCCCTCATTGCTCTCACCACTCACTGAGCCTATAGCAAGTTCACCTTAAAACATTCCTTGAGATTTAAATATGAATTTATTTGAGACAGTGCAAATAGAGAGATATTTTAGGTGCCTCAAAACTGCATCTGTTAGGCTCCCAAGGTTTGGAGAGATGTGCCTGCAGGAGCCTGACTCGAGTCTCTGCAGTCACCCTCGGCCAGCCATGCCCTCTGTTTCTGATTAACTTCAGTGTAGGTTTTTCTGTTTACTTGCATGGGGACCATTTCACTGAAGCATTTTTAAAATTAAAAATTTCTATATATATAAAAGCCTAAGCGACCAAATGACCAAATGACTGGTCGACCAGTTGCTATAATGCACACTGACCACCAGGGGGCAGATGCTCAATGCAAGGGCTGCCCCCTGATGGTCAGTGCGCTCCCACATCCAACCTCCTGAGGCCGTCCAACCTCCCGCAGCCCCTCCCCCGACTGGCCTCCTGTGGCCCAGATCGGCCCCATCACCGGCCAGGCAGGGGTACCCCACCCATGCACAAATTTGTGCACCAGGTCTCTAGTGTGTATATATACACACACACACACACACACATAAATGTATACATATATACTTATATATGTGTGTATATATATACGTATATATATGTGTGTATATGTGTGTGTGTGTGTATATATATATATATATATATGTACATATATATATATACACATATACATATACATATATATATATACATATATATATATATATATATATATATATATGTATATATATATATATTGTTTTCAGAGAGGAAGAGAGAGAGAGAGAGAGAGAGAGAAACATCAATGATGAGAGAGAATCACTGATTGGCTTCCTCCTGCACGCCCTACACTGGGGATCAAGCCTACAACCTGGGCATGTGCCCTGACTGGGAATTGAACTGTGACCTCCTAGTTCATAGGTTGGTGCTCAACCACTGAGCCACACAGGCCAGGCTCATTGAAGCATTTTGTATTGTTACCTTTTGGACTAGAATTTGTGGTGAACAGAAAGTTTTCTGGGCTTTATTTTGTACATGTTTTGGGTAGATTTTGAAACCAGGAGGATCTTTTAGAGTCCAATTTCCAGAAAGGATAGAGGGGATGATCTTAAGGAGCCAAGGGCAGCCATGACTTACGTGAGATGAAGGTGAGAGGATAAAATAAGTGAGAAAAAGGGAAGACAGAAGGGATTGCAATGGCCAGGAGAAAGTTCTGTGGTTGTTCCTCTCTGGCACTGGAGCCGAGGAAGGACTCCAGAATGTGAAACTATCTAGTCTTCCGGATGGTTTCCCCTCCTGGGCACGCTGCCCTGTGAGACCCCTGACACCCACCCCCCAGAGCACCCACACTTCCTAAGTTGCCATTTAGTGCTTCCAGGCCCCACTGGGCCAGCAGCTGCAGGGGAGCAGGGGCCACAGGTACTTACTTGCTCTGTTCTCATAATTAAGCGAGGGCCTCGCAGGTAATTGGCACCATATAAACATGTAGAAACTTATAAATAGGCATGAGATACTGACATGTTGTTTCTAGTAAGAGTATTCATTTGTTTTAGTTTATTATTTTGAAACATAGTGATAAAAATACATAATGTAATAAAACCTCATATACTCACCACCCCTATTTGACAATTACAATTTTGCCACATTTGTTTAATCTATCCCTTATTTCTTTTTATTTTCTATAAGTATTTTAAAGCAAATCCCAGACATCATGTCATTTTTGCCCTACATATTTCAGTGCATATCTCCAAAAATATGCTCATTTTCTAATATAACAAGTGTCATTATTACACCCAATAAAATTAGCAACAATTCCTTGGTGTTGTTTGTACGCAGTCCATAAATCAGATTTCCTCCAAATGTTTTTAAAATGTCTATTTTTACAGTTAGATTATAAGATTAAATTTAAAAAGAATTAATAAGAAGTGACCATTTTGTTGTTGTTGTTAATCCTCACCCAAGGATATTTTTCCACTGATTTTTTAGAGAGAGTGAAAGGAAGGGGGAGAAAAGAGAGAGAGAAATATCAATGTGAGAGAGACACATCGATTGGTTGCCTCCCACATGTGTCCTGACAAGGGCCGAGAATTGAGCCTGCAACCGAGATACAATGCCTTTGACTGGAATTGAACCTGGAACCCTTCAGTCTGCAGGTCAACGCTCTATCCACTGAGCCAAACTGGCTAGGGCAAGGAGTAACCACTCCTAAGGAATTTCTGTGATTTCTACTAGCTAATCTTATAATCATCAGGTAAAAATAAGTGAAAGCAGTTTTCTTTACTAATCAACTCTATTGATTAGTGTTCTCTATTAGTGGAACCAAAGAGAAATTAGACACTTTCTCCTTTACTTGAGACATTTTATTGATGAAGTTTTAAAATCAAGATGTTATTTTGCCCTAGTTTTCATTATTAGTATTCTGCATTTTCTTTTTGTTTGTTTGTTTGTTTTTTGTTAATCCTCACTCGACGATTTTTTTCTCCACTGATTTTTAGAGAGAGTGGGGGAGAAGGAGAAAGGGGGGAAAAGAGAGAGAGAGAGAGAGAGAGAGAGAGAGAGAGAAAGAGAGAGAAACAATGATGTGAGAGAGACACATCAATCAGTTGCCTTTAGTACCCACCCTGACTGGGGCTGGGAATCGAACCCGAAGCCCTTCAGTGAGTGGGCTGATGCTCCACTGAGCAACACTGGGCAGGCGCCATTTTCTAGAGCAGTGATGGCGAACCTGTGACACGCGTATCAGAGGTGACACACGAACTCATTTTTTTGGTTGATTTATCTTTGTTAAATGGCATTTAAATATATAAAATAAATACCAAAAATATAAGTCTTTGTTTTACTATGGTTGCAAATATCAAAAAATTTCTATATGTGTCACGGCACCAGAGTTAAGTTAGGGTTTTTCAAAATGCTGACACGCCGAGCTCAAAAGGTTCGCTACCAGACTAGAACCTCCATACCTTGAACTAGTATTTGACCTCACATCTTTCACACATGCTCAACACACGTACGAGTATATATAATGCATATATGTACATTACAGGCATATGGGGCTTATGACATGTGTACATCTCTATGAACATGTGTACACCTATATTAGTCGTGTGTGTGTATTGGGTATTGTGACATCAAATAACAGAAATTCTCTTGTGTCTGGAAGAGAAGTCTTTAATTTCATTCTTTTTCCCTTAAAGAAGGGGAACAGATAAGAGAGGCCTTAGACAAAGATCTTAGTTTCATACCCTTGGTCTTCAGGAAATGCAAAGAAATATGTGAGAGTAAAGCAAGTCTAGGCATTTCCCGAGGGAAATGCAGTCTGCGGTCGGAGTTCACTAGGGCCCGTCAACCTCCGACCCCCACCACTAAGTCGAAGGGCAGTAGCTGAGGGCACAAGCCCCAGCAAGGTCCTCCAAACAAAAAGGACAGATTCTGGGGCTGTTTTCTAATTTGAGGACTGTTATTTTTCCCTCTTTGTA